AGGGGAAGTCAGGTTTTTTGTTCTTTTAACTATACGCAGCCCTACCATTCAAAGAACTGGGTATCTATGGGTCTCACATGTTTTTTTCAAGACTTAACTATTTTTAAATAATCTTAATACTTTAAGTCGCTTAAAAGCACATAGGATATTCAATTGTAAGGGAACTATCATAACACAGAATGCACAACAGAAATATTTAAGAATTATGACCTCCCTGAGAAATTACACTCAGTGAGTCCTACCACAGCTCACTGTCATTCTTCCACAAGATTCTGAAGAGGTAGTAAAATAATAAACAGTAATGTACAATGAAAAATCCGTATTTTAAATCTCTTTAAATATTAGCTCACTCTATCTAGAAACAGGAGGCAAGATCTCAAGTTACACATTAACAAAAAGTGTCTCATAGAAAGTTCTTAAAAGGAAAAGGACTTTTAGAAGTTAACTCAAACTCTTTTCTGAAGATAAGCAAAAGCACTAAAATAAGAAAACCATGTAATATACTTTAAAAAACCCACTCTAAATTAAAAGCAGTAAGGCTGAGATAAGATAGGTGAACTCTCAAAGAAAATAATAGAAACCAATGAGACAATTCCATCTGTTGGAGAGAAGAAATGCAAGAGCGACTACACAGAAAGACACCTGACATCACAGAAAGACATCTGACATCGCCAGAAGTGCTTTTTCTTTTTTCTTCTCAACTTCTGGCACAAAAGGCATAGACAAAACCATTTTTGCAATGATTGAAAAACTGGTCTCAAACAGACAATGATGCTTAACTTGACACCTTCCTTTGTTCTCGCAGCTTTACACAGCAATAATTCTCACTTCAATCTCCAGTTTTAATGCAATATGCTGAGAATAAAAAACTGGGAAGTGGTAGATTGTTGTAAGATACACGAGGAATAAAAGGTTATTACAAACAGATTAGCCCATGGTGGAAATGACACAGGCTAAGCAGGAGGCATGGATAATCTGGGTAAGTGCCATGGAAAAATAAATATCATGATTGGACTTAAAGCAAATGGAAGCAGTTCAAATCGGCTTCCTCCAATTCACTGCAGAACATGTGATGCCCACATGTCCATTTCCAACAAACCTCACCATAAAGAAACAAAGGCCAATACTGTGAAGTGTTGAAAAATGCATCTACCACCAGCTTCTTCCATACCACAGCAATGTGAATTATTGCAGCTGCCCAATAAGCATGCAAGAAAAGAGTTCGGGGGTTTTTTGGCTTTTTTGTTTTGTTTTTTGGAAAAGAGCTACCAGCATTTATCTGAAGCGCACCATCCTGTCAGTAAATGTTGACCTTGCAAAGAAGAGTAAGTTTTATAAAACACAGGTTGCAGTTTTACAACTGATCTACAAGGCTCACTGAATAGCTGCGGCCAAGGCAGTCACTCCACTCAACCCACTTCCTCTGCCCATCTACACGCTCCTACAACTTCTCTGGCTCAGTTCTAGCAGGTTTCTGTCAGGTTAACTTTTCAGAACATCAGTTCCTTTATCCGATTCCTTGTGGGGCCACAAACACACTAGTGTTTGCCTAACAAGAAAGGTCAGGAACTCCTGGAGAGGGATAGGCTGTCTCTATAGTCAGCAGCCCACACTTAAACTGATCATGAAATCACGGCCTCACAGCAATAAGTGATCACGTCATTGTGTGACTATAAGGAAAAATTGTGGTAAGGGTGGTCCTAGAGAAAGGACCTCAAAAAGCAGTCATTCTTAAGGCTTAAGATTAGGTTTACGGCAAAGTGTTCTTAATCTACTTGTTAACAAAACCAAGTAACAGCAGTAGGTGGATTGTGCTCAAGTAAAAACTTTGCAGCTTAAAGAATTTTCCACCAGTAACAACTCTTACATGACAAATTTGAGATCATGGCTTGATTAGCAAACAAGGAAGATATTTCAAAGGCATGTTACCAATTTTTACCAAAAAGCAAAATCACAACTACAATAGCAAAACAGTGCCAACCTTTATGCTTCCAGTATAGATTAAAAAAAAAAAAAAAAAAAAAAAAAAAAAAAAAAAAAAAAAAAGCCATTTAGAAACAAACGGAAATAATACAGAAAGACACTGCATGAAGAAGAAAGACTGACAAAAGCAGTTAATGGTTTGAATTAAATTCAGACAGTGGTAGGACATAAATACTTTATCAGAACAGGACAGCATACATGCTGCAGTCCACAGGGGACACGGAGGGCAGCTGTTAAATCATATCACTGCGGCTTCAGAGTAGGAGACTGAGTCCTGCTCCAGAACCACACTGAAGCCCCCTTTAATTAGCTCCACTATAAACTGCTCATCCCAGCAGAGCAATCAGAGGTGGATGCAAACACTGTTAGCCACATTAACCCCAGCTGCTGCACTGACTACTGCAATCAACATGCTTTTAGCCCTGCTGGATGGGTTCGATTATCTAGGTTTGAGTGATTTTTTTTGACTTATCAGCAAATTCCTTGTTATTTCTAGTGGCTGTATCACCACTTTTTAGGACAACCTTGAGGACATCTGTATTTTTTCCTCCTTTAAAACGACTTGAAAACACTCTACCTTTGATGAAAACGCAAGAGAAAATACAGAAGTTTCACTTTTCATCATTAGCAAAAGTGCCAAAGTACTCTGACACCGAATATGTGAGGCATTCCCTAATTCTTAAGTAAATAAAGCATTAGGACTTACTGGGCTGGCAAATGGTTTGAGGCTCAAAGGTCAAGACCAAGTATGACAATGGCAGGTTCTGTTGAATTCAGATTTGCAACAGAAACAAGTGAAATAGCATTGATGACACTTGTGCAGTTGAATATGCTAAACCAGGAACACCTCAGTAGAAAAAAAACTGTTTTTTTCCCCCCACATGAAATTTCATTTTGCACCCCCCAGCTTCTCATTCTTTCCCAGCTGAAACTAGTACAATTCTTTGGAGTAGCTAGAGTGTGGTTAAGCAGAGGAAGCTATGCTTGTTTGCATGGAATCTGCTATTTCCTCCCCGCCAAAACACTTGTTTAAAGTCATGTAATATTTCTATTAAGCTGTAAATGCAGTTGACAAGGAAATGGCCTACTGGCAGGGCATTACCTTTGTGGCAGTGCCAACCAGCCTACAGCAATATAGTGCACATGGAATTTCAACATGCATTCCCAAGTAACAAAATTGTGCCTTACATAAATACCACAGAACTCCAGCAACATCTAGAAAAAGCAATGAAAATTTGCCCAAGCTTTCATGCTTGCCTGTATCAATTCTGTGTCATAACTAAAACAAAGCAGGAAAGCATCTACATATGTCCAAAAGTCCTGTGAAGCTATATCATATGACACTGGGAAAACTATTGCAACTTAAATCTGTGTATTTCTTGTTAACCACTGTAAAAACTCACTAATAAAAATTAAGAAAAACTGTAGGTATCAAATATACAAAAGAGTACTAACTGCATACAAGCCCTTAAAAACCATAACGTAATTTATTAACAAGAACACATGTTCTACGTAATCCAGAATTGTTGTGTTAAATTACTTTGGCCTTTGATAGCATTCATTTGATTACAAGAATTAAACAGATTCACAATCTTTCAAATTCAGTGACCTTTGATTTATAAGCAGCTATTGTCATGCATATAAAAATTCTCTCTGATAATGTAGTCCTCACCTTTCAACAGCTAGTGCAACTACATATAATGATGTTTAAATGAACTCAGATGTAATTAAGACATTTTCATTAGGTACAACCAAAAACCCCAGCATGATCAAATTTATCTAATTTGTAATCAACAGTTCTTCAAAATGTTTTTTTAAATGTTATTTCATCTTAAATTAAGTTCCCATAAAAAACAAGCTTCAGAGATACTTATTTTGTTCTCAGCTTTCATCTGAATATTTTCAGTCTGAACAGTAATTTTAAAATAGTTAATTACACAGAGAAAAAAAAAATATGGTGCAGGAAAATTACTAAGCTTTGCTTCCAAAATTATGTAATGTTTCTAACTGAAAAACATTTACTAGCTTTAGCCGAGCTGCACATTGCCATAAAACTTCAGGAAACATCTCTGCTCCACAAAGCACACACAAACAAAAATCAAGAACCCAACAGCACTAAATACACTTGAACTCATATGCGACACCTTACAGTAATTATATATGAACAGTACCTTCCTCTTTCAACAGTGGTGGCTTCCTTCTATTAAGCTCCTGATATATGAGGAACCAGCAAAAGAAAACTGAATAATCTAGTATGCAATTTTTGCAGCAAATCACAAAGATGAAAAAAAAAATCCGCTTTTAGCAATATAAAGTGCCTTACTAATACCAAATAGGCATTAGACAAACAATTCAACAACAGAGTATTTATTCATGCTCAGTGCAGTGCAGCTTTTTCTATAGCTCATTTCAAAAAAATAAAAGCATAACTAACAGTGGCAAGTTATTCCTAGATAAACATTGTTCCCCATTAACTTCTCCAAGTAATTCCTTTGTAACTCCTACTTCTCATAAAGCAACCAATTCTATTTACATTTTATTTTGCAAAAAGTAAACTAATTCAGTAACAGACTTTAAGAGTCAGTAATAAATAAAAACTGTCAGGGGTTACTAATGATTAGCAGTGGTCACACAGGACAATTCGGAATCCTTCTTTAGGTCACCTTTATGTCAAGACTCCCTTTCAAAGAAGAATGGCCTTTTGGTTATGGAACTCTCTAAGTGCAGGTACAATATGAAATAGGGTCCATATGTTGCCTTCAAGTTAATTAAGCACTTACTGCTTTAGTTCTCTCTCAAGTGGAGATAAAAGCATTCTGAAATCTGAGAGAGATGTGTTAAAGTACAGGCAAACTGCAGTAGACAGGAAGCAAGACAGCAAGTAAAAATCCTTAGTCTTAATCTTTGTCCATAAATGTACAGTTTTATGATTCCAGTATCAGTTTTTTGAGGTTTTGGGGTCTGTTTTGGTTTTTTTTAAATACAATGAACAAGAAAACACCACCACACACACTTACCCTCATCGGATGAATATCAGCATATGGAGGCTTTCCTTCAGCCATTTCTATTGAAGTGATACCAAGGGACCAGATGTCTGCCACGCAGTTATAGCCAATCTCTTGTATTACTTCAGGAGCCATCCAGAACGGAGTTCCTATAACAGTATTACGTTTTGCCATTGTATCCTGTAATTATATTATTTACACAATTAAAACAGAGATGTTTATTTTCAGATGCTTTTGATACTAATTCTATATTATAAAGTTAAATTAGCCACCCAAAGGTCAAATGGTAGTGACGTCCATTCAGATTCAGCCCATCAGCCTACAGAGGCCAAATGGGTGACAGTGATCATAAACCTCACACAGAAGTTTAAAGTGGGATCATCAGGCACTTGAAGTACACTGGGTTGTAAAAATGAACAACTAAAAACAAATTAGCCTTGCAATATATTAAATACTCATCATGATAAAGAATGTTATCTCTACCACTGGGCACTCCTCAGAAACAAAATTCAAGGTAGATGAAAAAGACAAAAGTAAAAGAACACGGTTAGGAGCACTAAGCGTTTTTAAAGGCACTTACTGTTAACTGGCCAGCCACACCAAAATCAGCTAATTTTGCATGTCCCTCAGTGTTAAGAAGGATGTTTCCAGCCTTTATATCTCTATGTATTTTTCTCATAAAGTGCAAGTATTCAAGTCCTTTAAGAGTAGATTTCAGAATAGTCGCAATTTCATCTTCTGTTAGCTGCAAGAAAACATAAAACCATTTTCAGGTATGCACATCGAATCTATATATTTGAGCTATTTAAAACATTACCATTTCATAACAATTATTATGCATAATACAATGGACCTTAGGTATTTTAACACCAGAATATGCTCAATAGCATTTACAATTCAAAAGTTACTACTCTTTAGATGTTGAGATCTTTCATGAAGACTGCTGCACAGTTTCTACAATATGCAACTAATATATTCATCACTAAGATCATACATATTAACTGTCAAGTTATGCGTTACCTTTGTCAAAAACAAAGGTCACGGTAGTCACCGCTGGACTAGATGGCACATACCAGAATACTTCCCTGGAAAAAGAGATAGTCCTTTCTCTACTGTGGAAAACTAGAGCTATTCTGTAAACATCCACCTCCTTTAAGTTCTTTATGCAGTTTCCCAACAAACAAGTAGAGTCCCACATTTGGAAAGAGATGAAAGGAATGCCAAGTTTTCTTTATTTCTCAAATTCCTACATATGAAATGCCCGCTAAGTCTACAATTAGTAGTATCAAGCTTTTGTCCACCAACTATTCCTAACTGGACTACTGTTAGTTTCTCATTGCTGGCAATTTACATATTAGAGAGGATGAATTAAAGAGTTCTTCGCAAGAACAAAAAAAAAACCACAAAACAAAAAGCGAGGGACAAAGGTATACAGAAAATAGCCAAATAATTATTTACCACAAAGATCATGAAAAATATATTCATCAGGGATAGCTTGCTACTTAGTATCTGTAGGGAGATGCAGAAATACAAACATCCCAACCATCCCCAACTAGTTTACAGAATTTTACTGAAGTCTGTCAAGTAAGCCGCTCTTTTTAAGGCTAGTGCTTTCATTTTATATGGAATGTAAGTAAATGCTAATTTTTTTTAAAATAAGTATTTCTCACTCTGCCTGTGCTCCAAAACTGTAGAACTACACCCATACAGATGTGCCCAATGACCTTCCCAAAACCCCCCTCAGACCTGAAAAAGGACAACTAAGATGTCGGGGTACTCTTATGCTGGAAGGTGCCAACAACTGTCATCACCTGTCCTTTAAACTGCAGACAATTACAGAAATAGTGACTGAGAACGGATGCCAACCAGATGCTTTTTCTTACACCATTCTTCTTTTCTCGTTGCTGACTGATACAGAGAATGAATACTCACTGAACTTTTGGGTTCTTTTTAAAACACCTGTATCACTCGACAATTCATAGATTATATCATCACAGGAAAATATAATCAGATTGAATATATGGCTCTTCAATTTAAGCCACAAATACTGTATTTTTTTTAAATATCTACCAACAACATTAATTGTTGTCTATGCAAAGGTTTCCTGTTAGTTCTTAATAAAGTGTAGATAATCCACATGAGCTATGCTACGATCTGTCATGTTACTATCACACTATAAAGTGGTACAATTGAACTAACAGAAATCCTAACATAGCTGGCCCTGAATATATTTTATACAACAAGCCACATTTTAGCAAGCACAACTACCACCATGTGAAGACAATGCAAAATGTCAGCCCGTGACTTTCAAAGTAGTTGCAGCCCGTTAATATCTTCTGGCCTCTAAAAACATATTCCTTTACATAACGTTTACTAGTGCGTAATACTATCTTCTACAGCCATGCTGAATTTTTAACAGGTTTCTTTATGTTCTTTAGTAAGAGCGTGGTCTTCAGTTACTTCTGAGAGTTAAGGCAGGAGAGTTGAGGCTCCTTAGAACTTCAGAGATCCTGAAGCGAACAATACATTTTGCACAGTTATACCCAGCTCTCTTTCATATCATGTTTGCTGTTTATTTTTCAGGCAGGATGAATGGGAAAGTACTCTCAAATTAGTCAAGTAACTGAATACAAACTGAGCAACAAAGATGAAAATTTGAAGAGTAAGGAACTAAATAAAAAAATAAAAAAAAAAAATCGCAACAGGGATAGCCCCATACTAGCTACTATGATGAAAATTAACTCTATCCCAGCCAAAACCAGCACAGATATTTATTGAACTATGTAAAAGCATTACAAAGGAAAAACTAAGAACTCTTGCATGACTTTTTTTTTTAAGCAGACCAGACAAACTCAGTTTTAAAGCTTAAAAAAAATAATAAATTATTAAACACCTACTATAAAGAAAGAGGTAGCATAGACTGGGCAGTCCAAAACACTTCTCTTATTTACTACTTTAATATGTTGCAGAATTCATATACTATCACAAATGATACAATAACCTGCAAGTATCAACTGGCAACAAGCTGACAGAAATTTCATTACCAAAGAAAATACAATACAGTAAAAAAAAAAAAAAAAAAAAAAAAATTAAGATATATTTTCATTTATCTGCTTCATAAACTACATGGACTACTGAGTAAATCATACACGACCCCCTGAGAACACTTCTCAGATTTTGATCAACATTTATTCTAGAATAAAAGCAAAAACACATGCACTATTCATCATCCCATGTGATGCAATTTCTCAAGGAAATCCAAAACTATTCATGCTATTCAATTACAGTACATTGATGCTTTAATATAAGAACAAAGCAAATGAACTTGACACATTCTTAGAAATGCAAGAAACTGCAAAACTGAAGACAAATACTCTAATATGGCTGCAACACTGGGTTGCATTTTTCCCCTCCTTCTCTGCTTTTCCAATCCTATACAGAAATTAAATAACACAATAGCAATTCCTTCCAGTTTCAGTTTTGAAAGTGTTGGTACATATCCACACCTCCCTACCAAAAAAAAAAAAAAACCACCACCAGAAGCCCACAAGAAACAAAAAACCCACTCATAATCACTCTAAGCCAACAGAATGACTCAACAGAAAGGAAAAAATGATTAATCAGCAAGATTACCTGCACTTCAGTTGTTCACAACAAGTTTTAATTATTTAACAAACAGAACCACTTCCCTATTTCAGCTTCTATCCAGTCTCATAAAACCTGAGCGTGGAGCCCAAGGACACAGTTACACATACATTTATTTAAACAGTGGTGCCAAGCTCCAGTCCCTCCTTTCACTGCAGCCTACAGCAGTAACTCCTGCTCTGTGTCAGCCCTTCCACTGAACAACTGTAACTGACCCTGGTCAAAAATAAACCTGTCTGCCAAATTATTTTTATAACAAATCAGTTCCCTGATTCAATTCATGGCATAGTCAACAAGGATGTAGCAAAGTAGGAGCTGCTCAAATTGGCATTGCTTTCCAATTAAATACGTGTGTTGCTATACCCATAAAGAGTCCCAGTGACTTTTATAAACCTTTCCCTGTGCAAGCAGAGGATAAAGTTGATGGTGGCATTAGCTCCATGCTCCACAGCAAGCAGTTACCACCTCTGCTACACATTATGCTTTCCTTGCCTGCCATTTATCTCCAAGATCTTTCAGTGCTTCTATTCAGTGGCACACTGCTCAAAGCCTTTACTCGTGCTGCTACTTTATGCTGATTGCTATGCTGCTGCAAAGGATTCTATGCTGGGAGAACTGGAAACGCTGTTATATACAGCTCAAACACGACGGCTTTCCTGGCATTGCACCAAGGGAGTGAAACCATCTACCTGATCTGGAGTCAAGCAAGAAGGGACTTTAAATGAACTGTGAGATAAACTGAAGTATGGTCAGAAGGATATCCAGAGCAAGAGAGAACCCTCATTATGTAAGCTAATAACTTTGTGGTGAAGTACACTAATTACAGTGACTTTTTAGTGAAGTACACAGTGATTATTTGAAGACTTGCACTACAGACAATTTAAGCTCTGGCTATTAAGAAATATCATGTATGGTTTCTCACATGCTGAGTGCAACACGTTCTGCCAGAGCTTTGCTGAATCCACCCCACTCCACAACACAACGTCCTGCAAAGACTTCCGTGCAGTTAATTCTGAACATGCATCAAAAAATTATGCTGAGCACTGACAAATGTATAGCAAGATAGGCATACAACTTACTGCCTGCTTTCATCCAGAAACAAGGAGTATGAGAAATTATGCTTGGAAGGCTCTGCAGAGAAGGTCTCTTCAATAGGTTGTGTTCCTAAGGAGGTAAATCCCTACCTTTAATTCTTGAAAAATTAATGGTTAAACCACATGGATCATCTCTAGATGGAGAAGCGCTTTTGCAGCTGCATGGCAAAACTCAGCTCTCAAAAGGAGAAGGTAACAGAGTACTCATACCAAAAGGTTGACAAAGCAGCTAAGGACTGAGAAACCAGCAAACCAGAAGGGAGTGAGTTCTAGAGTACTGCAGCCTGATACACCATCTAGGGACCACCAGTAAAGGAAAGCTGTAGCATGGCTACGTGTTACAAAAGTAGGAATATTTAAGTAACATCAAAATACATACAGTGGTCAAAAAAGCCCACAGAAGTGAGTGTCACCTATAAGAAGTAAGCAGAGAGCACAAGTCATGTTTATGAGGAACAGCAGTAACAGGGAAAAAGACGGGAGAACAGGCTTGCTCTGCCATAAGCATTCTGAGACACATCAGTCCTAACTCCAGATGCCCTAGATCCATCCATGCGTGCTTCATAAAATGTGCGTGCGTATATATACACATATATATAAAGATCATCTATATAATGAGATGCAGTCACTAAAGTCATTCCTACTCATATTATTGCTAAACATGGCCAAGTGTATGCATAATAATACACAGACAAAATGTTTAGCTTTAATATAATATTTAGAAGTATGCAATGAATTTCCAGCCTTGCTCAACAGGCCAAGAAAGCACATGCACTTTCCCTGTACAAAATTACCTTCTCAGAAAATAACGTACTGCCATATTGATTATTACCATGCAATCACAACAACAAAAAAACCTTAAAAAAAATCTTTCAAAATCATTCATTTTTTGATTTTTATGCAATTTCAACTTTTTGCAGAATGTACACCATCTATGCATACCACTGAAAACACTTACAGAAATATGAAATTCTCCAAAAAAAATTACTTCAAAAGCCACAAACAT